GAGAGAGAGAATGAGAGATAGAGAGCATGAGAGGGGGAGGGTCAGAAGGAGAAGCAGACGCCCTGCTGAGCAGGGAGCCTGATGCGGGACTCGATCCCGGGACCCTGGGATCATGACCTGAGCCAAAGGCAGTCGCCTAACCAACTGAGCCACCCAGGCGCCCCCAAAATGGAAAGCTTTTTAAGGCAAAAAACTTTTTTTAGGCAGCAACATGGAAGTCACAGATGAAAGAAAGGATTATTACAATCACCTTCCTTTGGGGGGAAGGACAGGGGTCTATCTAGCAGGTGACCTCTCTGGTGCGGATCAAGAAATGCTACACTAATTGGTGTAAAATTCCAGTAATAGGAGAGGCTGAAATAGCAATTCGGTTAGGTAATAAGTCTTGGTTTGCTGATGTGGGGCTTAGCACAAGTGACTCTATTTGGGGAAAGTTCTTTGTTTAACAATTTTAAAAACAAACCTGTTATAAACACGTGTAATTTGTATTTTTGAAGAAAATTTAAAATTGCGATTCTCAATCCTGGAGTCGCTTGCATGCTTTTGAAAAATACCAGTGCTAGGTCGGGCCCACTCCCAGGGATGCTGATGTCATTATTTGGGGTTGGAACGACTGGTCTAGAAATAGTTTTCCTAACCAGCAAGAAAATGTACAGAACTTAACCCAGTTGCTAGGGCTAATTATGGCCATACTCTGAACACCGAGTTGGTGGAGTAGTTACCGTGAATTGGGCAGGACAAAGGTAATACATATGTTTAAGTGAACAAATCCGATTTCCTCTAACAAACATCCTGACAAGGAAGTTTCCGATGAAAAGTAAGAATAATCGTGAGGTTACAGATCACAGTCCATGGGATACAACCAAAAACCAAAAATACTGGCCAGAAACTAAGTGAAGACAAGTTCTTGATGATGATACAAGATTGAACTGTTTAAACAGGATTCCATTTGCCTGCGGTCCCCTATGATCACCTCTACTGTAACTGACAAATAGCCTCCAGACTTCTCTGCCTTTACCTCCGAAGGCACTGACCAGCCAGGGCACTAGATTTTCAAGAGCCTTGGGTGACAGTCTTCTGGGCATCTCTTAAGTTGTGGCTGCAGAGAGATGGCTTGCGAGGTGCCCAGGATCTGAGCATCAAGGATTGCCTGGGCAGGGCAAGATCAGGAAAGGTCAGGTGAGGGCAGATCAGCTAAGGTAAGGGCTGGTGGGGTCCTGGCCAAGGCTGCTGACAATCGTACCTGGAAGAAGAACTCGGCTCCCTGGGCAGAGCGGTGAGCTGTGGTGCTCGCCCCGGAAAGCAGCCCCCACAATGCACCTGGTTACATTTTCACTGACCCAGGGGGAAACAGCCTGGTGCCTGGCAGCTGGAGGACTGGAAGATGTCACCAGGTTCACAACCCTCTCCACGACTCACACGCAACCTGAGCGGGATCAACATGCTGATCTGGCCTGGGCTGCCAGGCAGCAGGTGCCACCAAAAAATGGACTTTAAAAGAGACACTGGAAAAGACAACAGGTTGTCCGGGGTCCAGCGCCCAGTGCAGCACACCCTGCCAGTCTGAGCTCTAAATTCAGTGGTCCCCCTCAAAGAGTTCCCTAGCTTTAATTAAGTGCTTGATTATGAAGTTGGGGAGGGGTGAGGAGGCCCAGACCGGCTCTAAGAGGCCAAACCACATAATGAACCTGCCACCCTCTACTTTCCCCTTCGCATGCCCAGCCCTGGGCACCCGGGCTACTAGCATTTGCAAGGAGCACAAAAAGGGGGTTGGGGATGGGGGACTCTCACCTGGTGTTTCTTTTGCAGCCATTATGCTCCCTGGTTTGGGCAATCAATAGTGTTGATATTGATGCTAACGATCATGAACAAGAGGTGGAGACTCCTAAGGTGACCCGGCATGGCCCACAAGGCGGGCGGTGGGAGATGATTTAGGATGGTACAGGGGACAAAAGGAGGAAACCACTGAGCCCCCTGGGGACAAGCCTACGCAAATGGTGCGGGTAGGACATGGAGAAGACTGGAAAAGGGCGAAGTGATTGTTGAGGGACCAGGCATGGGGGTGGCAGGGCTGTGGGAGGACAGGAACACTTTACCCCTGGGAGGTCAGAGTACAGAAAGGGACACTAATCTCTTTCTCTCGGCTCTTGTTCACGGGGCATCTGGCCAGTTTAACCCAGCCATTTACTGCCACCCTCAATTCGACCACTGACTGATAAAGAGTCTTTTGTGGGGGAGCCAGGGGAGGGGCAGAGGGAGAGAGAATCTTAAGCAGGCTCTACGCCCAGGATGGAGCCCGACACAGGGCTGGATCTCACGACCCTGAGATCATGACCTGAGCTGAAATCAAGATTGGGCGCTCAACCAACTGAGCCACCCAGGTGCCCCTAATAAAGAGTCTTAATCAGACACCTGCCAACAACTACTGAATCCAAGAGGGAGCAGCCTCCACTCAAGAGGACAGAACAAGATGAACTTTCTGGACATGGCTTGGTCTCTTTGGTTCCCTCTCGTTATCGTTGGATGGGTTTTTATGTTTCTCAGAGACTGGTTGCTCTAAACTCTCCAGCACAGTGGCAATGGGCAATCATATTGCCCTGCACTTCCTGCAGGCTGGTCAAGGTGAGGTGTATGGCTGCCAGCCTCTCTTGCTGCGTTATTTATGCAACGACCTGTTTCCTGTCTTGGCTGGGGGCTGGGCTGTGTAGACCTGGGCAGCCCACAGAGGGGCAGCTGTGCCTACTCTAGTCTGAGGGTTTCTAAGACGAGGAAAGTGGAGTTGGTCCATGGTAACCCACAGAATGGGAGAAAATATTTGCAGTTCATATATCTGAGGAGGAATGGATATCCAGAATATAGAGAGGACACCTAAAACTCCCCAAGACAACACGATTAAAAAATGGGCAAAGGACTTGAAAAGACATTTTCCAAAGACAGACAAATGACCAATAAATAAGCACATGAAAAGATGCTCAACATCACTGATCATTAGGGAAATGCATATGGAAACTACAAGGAGACACCACCCGACACGCATTCGATGGCTACTATCAACAAAACAAAATACCAGGTGTGGGCAAGGATGTAGAGAAATCGCAACATTTTCACACCATTGGTGGGAACGTAAAATGGCGTGGCCACCGTGGGAAGCGGTATGACGGTTCCTCCAAACATGAAAAGTGGAATTACATAATGATCCAACAATTCCACTTCTGGGTATATACCCCAAAGAACTGAAAGCAGGACATCCAAGAGATATTTGTACATCCACAGTTATTGGCAACATTATTCACAAGAACTAAAATGTGGAAGCAAACCACATGTCCACTGATGGATGAATGGATAAACAAAATGTGGTATAGACAGACAATGGAATATTATTCAGCCTTAAAAGGAAGGAAATTCTGAACACGCTACAGCATGGATGAACCACAAGGACATTATGCTAAGTGAAATAAGCCAGTCACAAAAAAACAAATCTGCATCACTCCATTTATATGAGGTGCTTAGAGTGGTCAAAATCATAGAGACAGGAAGTAGAAGGGTGGTTGCCAGGGCCTGGGGAGTGGGGGATGGGGACTTAGTGTTTCATGGGGTCAGAGTTTCAGTTCGACAAGATGAAGAGTTGTAGAGGTAAATGGTAGTGATGTTTGCACAGCATTGTGAGTGTATTTAATACCACTGAACTGTGCATTTAAACATGGTTAAGATGGCAAATTTTATGTGTATTTTATCATAATTTTTTTAATCACAATTTTTAAAAATTGAAAAAATACTTGGTTCAAGCCCCTGTCAGTACAATTAATTTTGGTGTCCGATGGGGTGGCCTCAGCTGCAGGGAAAAGGTTGGGGGTGGAGTTTTGGGGTAATGCTTGGCCATGGCACCCTGGTGACGCTGAACATGTCCACACAGGCCACCAGGCAGAGGCTTGAACCACAGCTTGTCTGATTCTGGGCAAGAAGCTATGGTGCTCCGGGACACCGGAGGGTGGGAGGACTGTGGGAGCCACCATGAGGCCATCTGCCCCTCACCCGCCTATGTACCCGGAAGCATCAATGAGACTTCCTTGTCACCTCCGTGTTCTGATGTGGCCTGAGGCCTCTGACCGCCCCCCTCAGGAGAGAGCTGCAGGATATAAAAGCACTCAGCCGTGGGGCACCCCACAACTCACCTTGCAGTCCCCAGACCCCTTTGGTCTCAAGATCGTCCTTTTTAGTACATAGGACAAGAGCTTCAGGGAGCTGACACCTTTGGCTTATTCGCCTTCTCGCTGTCTTTGTAAGTAATAAGTCTTAAATCTGAAAGTGGCTCGTTGTGTCTTTACCAGCCAAATTAGTCAGGCCTCGACCGTGGCCTGGTACTGTCTTGAATACGAGTTTGACCATGGCCTACGCTTTCGCCTCTCATCTTAACCAAGGCTGACTCAGAGAATTTATCACTTTTTTTTAAAAGATTTTATTTTATTTATTTATTCGACACAGAGAGGGAACACAAGCAGGGGGAGTGGGAGAGGGAGAAGCAGGCTCCCCGCTGAGCAGGGAGCCCAATGTGGGCCTCAATCCCAGGACCCTGAGGTCATGACCTGAGCCAAAGGCAGACACTTAACCGAGTGAGCCTCCTGGGCGCCCGAGAATTTATCACTTTTTGTTGCCACACACACAACTGTAAAGATGCTCATAAGCCTGGGAAGGATAACCAGTCTGCAGGTCTTCGGTAAATATTGACAACGGACTTATGCAACTAAGACACAGGGAACTTATCTGGAAGTCTTCTATTTAAATGGTCACATGAAGTTTATTCCTTGAAGAAATATTCTTATGTAGAAACACCTTATTTCCTCATGGAGAGCAAATAAGATGTGATGATACTATGGTTCTGGACAAATGCCTAGACGCTCTTTCCCAAGAACTCACTAGAAGGAGGCTAGAGAGTCTATAAAATAGCCCACAAGTAGGTGTGTGGAAACGTTTCTGTCAACAGCTATAGTGGAAAGAACACCATGGGATTCTCCGACTTGCTGCACACCATCGGCGGCATGGGGAACTTCCAAATCCTCCAAACTATTCTCATGATGTTCCCTGCCATCCTGATCGCCTGTCACAGCTTCCTGCAAAACTTCACTGCCACGACCCCAGAGCATCACTGCCGGCCAGCCAACTGGACCAATGGGTCTCATGTCCCGGATGGCGTCGGGGATGGGGACTTGCTCCAAGTCTTCATCCCACTGGACAAGGACCAGAAGCCTGAGCGGTGCCTGAGGTTCTCTGAGCCCCATTGGCAGATCTTAAACCTCAATGGCACCTCCTCTTTGAGCTTGGACACCGAGGCCTGCCTGGATGGGTGGGTGTATAACCAGACTGTTGGCTCCTCAATCGTTTCTGAGGTGAGGTAAAGCTACAGCTGAACACTAGGTCTTCAGATGATTTTTTTTGTTTTGTTTTATCTTAATGGAGACGTAACTTATTCCATTAAATGCTCAAAATTTAAATGTGCAGCTGGATAAATTTTACATATGTAAACACCAGGTCAAGATACAGGTTATTTCTAAGGACCCCAGAAGGTTCCCTTGTAATCTTCTGCATCACTACTACCTCCCCCCCAACCTCCAGTATAACCACCAATCAGACTTCTATCACCATCGCTTGGTACTGCTTATGCTTGAATTTCATATGAATGGAATCAAAGAGTATGTGTTCTTTAGTGTGTTGGGATTTTTTTTCATTCAATATAGATTTTTAAGAGTCATCCATGTTGATACATGCTTTGGGAGTTGGTTCTTTCTCAGTTCCTCAGAGCATTCCGTTGCACAAATATGCCACAGAGTATATGTCCATTCTTTTTTTTTTTAAGCAATTTTTAAAAAATATTTTATTTATTTGAGAGAGAGAGAGAGAGAGAGCACAAGCAGGGAGGAGGAGTAGAGGGAGAGGGAGAAGCAGGCTCTCCACTGAGCAGGGAGCCCATTGCAGGACTTGATCCCAGGACTCTGGGATCATGACCTGAGCCAAAGGCAGACGTTTAGACGACTGAGCCACCCAGGTGCCCAGTATATGTCCATACTACCGCTGAAATGCACCTATGCTGTTTCCAGTTTGGGGCTATTATGAGTATCATAGTCATGCGCATTCTTGTACATGTATTGGGGTGGACACGGGTATTTGTTTCTGCTGGATGTATGCCCAGGGGTGGGATTATAGGATCATAGAGTGGCCCCAGATTCTGCCAAACAGTTTTCTCTGTGTATAAGGTGTTCAGGCATGTCTGAGTACTCCGTCCCACTGCCCCCCTCCCCGACACTTGGTCCAATGATTTATTTTGCCTTCACTTAGCTATTTGCAAAGCAGTCAGAAAATCGAAATGACATCCATTTTCTTGTGGGTTTTTTTTTTTAGATTTTTTAAAAAGATTTTATTTATTTATTTGACAGAGAGCAAGAGATCACAAGCAGGGGGAGTGGCAGAGGGAGAGGGAGAGGGAGAAGCAGGCTCCCTGCTAAGCAGTGAGCCCGATGCAGGGCTCGATTCCAGGACCCTAGGATCATGACCTGAGCTGAAGATAGATGCTTAACTGACTGAGCCACCCAGGTGCCCCTGTTTTCTTGTTTTCCCCCAAATTTCTCAGACCACTGAATGAAATGAGAACAAAAAGAAGGAAAAAATGAAACATTTCAAGTAAACTGGGTCTAGATTCGTGTTGGTTGTCTTTCTTTTAGGGTAGAGGTTTCCTAAGACTCAGGACCATGTGTTTTATAAAACATCTGGGATAATGTGCTTGACATTGATATAGAGGTTTGTGCCATTTAAGATAAAAGGGCCAGTGCTCAGGATGGCAGCATTTTGTGCTTAAGGGCAAGCTGTGGGACCATGTTAGCGTGTGAGAGGTGACGAGGCAGCTCTTAATATTCTATGGAAGCCACATGGTGAGGATGCATGAGCCACCTGCTGACACTTCTGTCTCTTTTCCTCCAGTGGGACCTGGTGTGCGAGCACAAGTCACTGAAGTCCATTGCCCAGTCCATATACATGACGGGACAGCTGGTTGGAGCTACTGCTTTTGGCATCTTCTCTGACAGGTGAGGGGAGGCCCAAGGAAGTCTCCAGAAGCTTCCTACGAGGCTAGAGTTCATGCTATCCCCACACTGTCCTCAAAGGCTCAGGACCCCACTTGGGAAGACCCCCCCCCACGTCCTTCTCCCTGCCAGACAGCCAGGGCCGCAACTGAGACCTCAAAAGGAGGGGTCGGGGTAGAGCGCTCGCCCCTCCCTGCCCGGGTCCTGGACACCTCACTTTTCTAGAAGACAGTCCCTGGTCATGCATCCGATGTGGCTGAGGTGATGGTGCCTCCCTTTTTTGTTCTGCAATGAATTGCAATCATGAATCTCGAATTACTTTCTGCCTGGGGATGAATTTTGAGTCACGTGGCAGAATGCCTTCGTCATATGAACGGTGATGACGCTGGGTCTGTGGTCTCATTTCTGCCAACCATGATTTCCCCGCAGGGTTGCCTCCACAGGTCGCTTCCCCAGGAAGAAGGAGCCCCTGTGATGGTCATTATTGTTGTGAACGGCTAATTCTACTGAGCGCTCTCACACATCCTCCCAGTAGCCCTGGGTAGCTGCTCCCATTTCACAGATGAAATGAGGCTTAGCACCACTGGTCCTACAGAAAACTGATTCCAGCATGGACATTTAGTGCTTATTCTTGGAAGTGACGATGATGTTCCCGTGAGGAAAAAGCTCTGTGCTCGATGCCACATCTAGACAGATAATCCTGGTTAAAGCTAAACAAGCCAAGGCACATTTCTGAGAAAGCCAGCCCTGGGTACAGTGTCTTCTAGTCTTTTATCTCTCTTGGTTTTTGCCAGCCTGTAGGCTGCATCCCTCCGGTGCAGCAGAAAGAGCATTTCAAGTGGACATCAGCAGAGCTGGGCTCTGCTCCTCTATGAAACCTTAGAAAATTCACTTAGCTCTTGGGATCATTTCTGTACAATTGAGGGGCTCTCCCAGTCACCCAGTGGCCCCAGTCTTCCCTGTCTCCCCTGGCTGGGCTCCAGGACCACTCAGCCTCTGACCCCTGTGCTGGGATGCCCAGCCTTGAGCTCTGGGCAAGAGGGACTGGTGACGCAAAGGCCTTGCTCATCGGAAAGGAGGCCATCTGGAGGGCCCCAGACTCTGTCCTCACCCCCACCCGACCCAGAGGTGAAAGGAGGGAACTAAGTCATCTCCATGGGGCCGGCAGGGAGCTCTTGCTTTAAATGCCAGTCCCCCAGTAACAAGGGGCCTGCAGCCTGGCCAAATAGCATCTTGTATTCAGATAGCTGAGAGCCACGGGGCATCCGAGGTAGAGCTCCAGTCTACCTCCAGGCACCCACCTCTGGAAAGAGCCCTGGTAGGGAATGGGTAGGAATGACCTCCAGAGTGTGTAAACCCTACCTCTTCTCCACTGTTTTCCTGACCCCTTTTGAGACATCCCCTTGACTACTCCCCCTCCTTCCCCCCTACCTCCCCCACTCTCCCTTCCTCTCCAGTATACCAGCAAACCCTGTTGGCTCTGTCATCAACATAGACCAGGACCCACCCCCTCCTCTCGCCGTCCCCTTGGCTACCACTCGTTCATCTTGCACCTGGCTGGCTGAAACAGCCTTTGAGGGAGCCTCCCTGCTTCTTCCTATCCTTGACCTTGCCTTCTGTTACTCTCAAATCGATGGGAAGAGCCATCTGGTTGATACAGAACAGATCCTGGCCCTCCTCTGCTCAACCTTCCACCAGCTCTCCAGTTCCTAGCCAGTGAAGCCTAATGGGCACATGGCGTGCTGGCCCTGCCTGGGCTGGCCCCAGATCCACTGCCATGAACCCAGCCCCACCCCCGCCTCCTTCCTCCTGCCCTTGCACTGGCTGTTGCCCCCACCAGGGGCATTATGCCCAGGACACCTCTTCAGGTCACTTCTCACAGCCTCGAAGTACAGTGATGTGGATTTCTCACCGGCTGTGGGTGTGGGGCAAGTCATTTCAGCTTGAGCCTCTGTTTTCTCATCTGTAAAATGGGGATAATGATGCTATTGACCTGAGATGACCTGGGAGGAGCCCCAGCACACCTCAGTGCTATGTCTGTGGTGGTACGTTGTGTCACCTGCCCAGAGGACCTTCTCTGGCCTCCTTATTTACAACTGCAGCCCCTCTGACATTCCGTGTCCCCCTGCTCTGCTCTGGTTTGTTCTGTAGCCTCTGACGGTCTATGTATTTTACCCATTTATCTTACTTATTGTCTGATTTCTCCCTGACCACGGCTCTCGCACCGTGCCCCAGGCCAGGGCTGTGGGTACAGGTAGGGGGGGTCCCGTGGGAAGGGGCAAGTGAGCTCCTGGTGGAGTCCTCAGCCCTTGGCACCTGCCTGGCACACAGGGGTCTAAGAGGAGGTTAGAAGAGAATGAGTGTGGGGTCAAGAGTCCTTTGGAACATTCGAGCCATTGCTCACACTCCCTCCCCCATGGGGCAGGGACCAGAAGCCATACTCAGATGCCCGTTATAGCCCCATCCGGAGACAGCTATACTTTTTTTTTTTTTTATTTATTTATTTGAGAGAGAGAAAGCACATGGGGGGGGAGGGTCAGAGGGAGGAGCAGACTCCCCGCCAAGCAGGGAGCCCGATGCAGGACTCGATCCCGGGACTCCAGGATCATGACCTGAGCCGAAGGCAGTCGCTTAACCAACTGAGCCACCCAGGCACCCCGGAGACAGCTATACTTTAACAAGGAACAGAGCCAAGAGGCAAAGAATTGAGCGTCCTCCCATAGGGGAATTCTAGGCCTTGGCAACTCGTGTGGGGAGGGGCCGGGGCAAGGAGGGAGTCCCCTCCCAAGGCCTTTCTCTTCGATTGGGAGGGTGTTAAGAGGAGGTCAGGGATACCTTCCCAGGACCCTCGATCACATTGTGAAGGCGGCTTCCCAAGCCCTTGTCTAAGGATGCAGTGAAGTGGGGGGCGGACAGGTGGAGGGGAGCAGACTGGAGCGAAAGCAGAGGCAGAGTGGCCTCTAGTCGTCTTTGCAGCCGGACCCCGGGCTCAGCCTGGCCGCCCCATCCGTCCCGGTTGCAGGTGTGGACGCAAGACGGCGCTGCAGAGCGGGACCCTGCTGATGATCATCATGGGCACCAGCGCCGCTTTTGCGCCCAGCTTCCCCGCCTACTGCGTGCTCCGCTTCCTCAGTGGGGTGGCAATGACCGGCATCATTATCACCAGCCTCTGCCTCGGTGAGTACCCCTGCGGAGCCCTGGGGTCCCTGTCACTGGCCGACCCAGGCTGACCTCTCTCCCTGGCCCTGTGGAGCTCATTACCAGCAATGCCGAACTTGTCATTCCCAGCCATGGAGTGGACCCCGACGCAGAGGCGGACGCTGGTCAATATCTACACCATGTATATGATCACGCTGGGCCAGGTGGTCCTCACGGGCCTGGCCTACCTCATCCAGCAGTGGCGCTGGCTACAGGGCACCGTTTCTGTCGCCTACCTGATTATTCTTCTCTACTCTTGGTACGTTGTCTCCCAGACGTACTGTGCAGAGTTGCCTTGTCTGGTCTGTCTTCCTGGGAAGTGTTTGCTGACCTCAGAGCTTACTTTGGCTTGGGTCTGCTGAGATCTGACCTCCTTAAGGAGAGAAGAGAGGACCCTTGGTATACGATGAGGTGTCATTTGATTTTTTTCTCCATATTGTCCTTGGTGAGTAATAGTCCTGCACCATTTGGGGTTCTAAGTGGCTGCACACTTGACCCATACCAAATTCAGTCCTGAGTGACTACAAGGCCCCTTAGAAGCCCCAGGCTCCCATGAAATGCCTCATGGGGTCAGACTTGAAGATTTTTGGCCACTCCACTTAGCCAGTGAGATGAGATTTACCCTACAAATCCAGAGCCACAATGAAAGTAAGAACTCTCATAAAAATGACACTGAAAATCCATACTAGTGCCATGAGCGATTTTGAGAGCGTAGCATGAAATGAGAAATGCAGGTAGCAGAATACGTGTACAACTTGGAGATCGTTTTGCAAAAGCAAACACGTGCTTACGTCTGTATCTTGCGATCTGACGAAAAGGAAAATGGGGGAAACAACCACCAGCCCATTCACAGTTGCTCTCCTTATTCCTCCCGTTTTGCTTTTTTGGATTTTCCCTTGGATCTCCTTGTTTTCAAGGGGGCCAGCCCTTGACATATGGTGATTAGGACAGTGAGCCCAGTGCCTGCGTGGGTACTGTGGGTGGAGATCCCTTGACACCTCCAGCTGGTCAGGGTCAGGGGTGGGCAGGAGGCTCTGCCTTGTCTGATCATGCCTCCAGATCATTCCCTCCCTCACCCCATTCCCTCTCACTACTAGGGGCCTGCCAGAATCGGCTTGCTGGCTCATCACTCACAACAAACCTGACAAGGCTGTGAAAAATCTGCAGACTGTGGCAAGATTAAATGGCAGAAAGGAGCAGGGAAGGAAACTCACTCCAGAGGTATGCACAAAGGGAACCCACATGCTACCTGAACCCTTCCTCCTAACCTGGTGGTAATTCTCAGTGAGGGCTTAAGTTGGCTGCCAAGGGTGAACAAAGAGTTAAGTTTCTACATCCAGAAGTAGTAGCTGCCACCATCAGATAGCCAGAGGACCTGTGGGAAAAATGTCCTATTACACCCTTTCTCAGAAGCTACCACAGGGTACATTCCACCAAAACAAGAACGTCAACCAGGGAATCCAGGAAATAGAAGATCCAAAATAGGAGAAAGGTAAAGAAGAAGGGCAAGAGTTGTACAGAAAACCTAGAGAACAATCAGTCTGTACTGAAGCAAAAGAATAGCCATATACTGGAGGCCTTTCATGAAGAAAAAAGAAATGATGCTGAGAGATTGCTTGTTATACTTTATCTTAACAAGAGTTTTATGGTTCTATCAAAGAATTTGGGGATAAATTAGTGCCAAGTGCTTAAGAAATCAAGAGTATAAGCAAGCAGGGCGCCTGGGTGGCTCAGTTGGTTAAGCGACTGCCTTCGGCTCAGGTCATGATCCTGGAGTCCCGGGATCGAGTCCCGCATCGGGCTCCCTGCTCAGCAGGGAGTCTGCTTCTCCCTTTGACCCTCTTCCCTTTCATGCTCTCTCTCTCTCATTCTCTCTCTCTCAAATAAATAAATAAAATCTTAAAAAAAAAAAAAAAAGAGTATAGGCAAGCAAATACACCAAAGAGGCAATTATTAACTCCAGGAAAATAAAAAACTCACGTCACAGAAAGAAATATAATCAAGAGTACACTACATGGTTCAACTCTGAATGAGACTTACATTGGGAGAATTACAGAAGGGAAGTTATTGGTCAGCAGTGGTAGAGTAAGAGGGCTAAATCCTCGTTCTTTCTTAGTATAAATCAATCTAAAGTTGGAAAATCAAGCCATAGCAGTATAGCATTTTATCTGCAAATAGGAGATAAATATGAAAAGAAACACCTAGAAGAGTAGAAGGCAGTTGCTTCTGGAGAGTAGGAATTGGGAGTGGTACTAGAGAAAGGAGAGGCAGGGACCTTTCTAACTATGAACGTGAAGAAACAAAATAACAATGGCTAAGATCCCAGACTCGGGGCCATTCACCTGGGTTTGACTCCTAGCTCTCTACTTATAGCTCTGTGATCTTGGGCAAGTTATTTAACCTTCTGAGCTTCAGTTTCCTCATCTGTAAAAAGGATAATAGAATCTCCCTTACATTCAATAAGTTAGTTCACGTCAAGTACTTAGACCCCCATCTGACAAATAACAAGCGCTCAATAAACGATGGTCATTGCTGACCATCAAGAAAGACTAGTTAAAAGAAAAGGAGAAGTTGCTCCAAAAGAGAAGACACACCCAAAATTTGAAGTCCTCTATTTCTTCTTGGAGGTGTGTGTGAAGGAATTGGCCAATGTGGGAGGAATCAAGTAACTCTATGGCATCAGAAAGTGGAAAGACTAAGGGCCAGAGCCCTTTCTTCCGGCATCCCCACTCTGGTCTTTTCCTACCAGGTTGTAAGGATCCACATGCAGGAGGACACAGCTGCTGTGAAGGCATCCCCATTCTTCCTAGATCTCTTCCGCACTCCGGGACTCTGCAGGATAACTTGCTGTATCGCCCTGGGGTGGTGAGTGGGGCCCCAGAGAGTGACCCCCGAGTCATTCACCTGACACCTGTTCCTGAGTTGTCATTCCCTGGTGCCCCACTGGCTTGAGGCAGAGATGCAGGCAACCCATCATGGCTAAGCAATCTGAGAAGATGGGAAAACCTGGCAAAGTCTGGAACTTGAGAGGATTTGGTTTTAGAATAGGATCACATCCCATCCATGGCCAAAAGGTTGGAAAGACTCCTTCCATTGGAAAGAAAGGCAAACCATGGGCCACCTCTAGGGTATGCAATAAACTACCGGCACTTTCTCTCTTCCAGGTTTTCCACGGGCTTTTCCTTCTATGGGCTGGGTTTAGATGTGCAGAGATTTGGGTTCAACATCTACTGGACACAAGTGCTGTTTACAGTGGTGGATATCCCCACGAAGCTGATGACAGGCCTGAGTATGGCCTACTTTGGCCGCCGAATCACCACCGTCTCCCTGCTGCTGGTGGCCGGTTGCACGATCCTTGTCACTGCATTTCTTCCTCAAGGTGAGGTTTTCTTCTGGTCTCGTGAAAATTCTCTTCTGATATGATGGACAACATGGTCTGGTTTGATGATTCAGAGCAGACTAGAGAACCAGATGAACCTGTTTTCAAGTGGTCTCCTGTGATCATGGACAAGTTGGCCCACTTACCCTCTGCTGACCCTCACAGTTATTTAGGAAGAATAATGAAGAGGCCCTTATTGGGGGTTGACAGCATGCCAAGCACTGTGCTAGCACTTCACATGTATCAACTCATCTGACCGTCACGAGGACTCCATGAAGTGCTTTTATAACTGAAGCATAAATAAAGCACAGAGAGGTGAAGTGACTTGTCCAAGGTCACACAGCTAAGAGGTGTTAACATTGGAGAAAACAACATGATGGCTTCGTGGGTGTTTTTGTTATATCAATCTCTATAGTTTTCCATATGTTTGAAATAATATTTTAAAAACTAATAAAAGATCATGTGTAAAAGTTCTTATCCCAGTGCCCGGCTCATAGTAAACATTGAGTAAATTTTAGTTATCATCATATAGGTAAGTTTATAAAGGTATAAATTCAGCCTTCTGAGATCTAGTAGCAAGGGATACTAATTTGAGATGGTTGTAGGAATCACAGAAATCTAGAATCCTGCAAGTGGGAGGTGTGTTGAAGACTGCCTCATCTATCACTTTACTGATGAGAACACTGTGTCCTTGGGACAGTCACTTCTCCGACTCCCCAGGACAGGACCAATCTCAGCACCCCTCACTCCCCAGCTCCCCCTTCCTCAATTGAAAATATCAACTTTGGTTGTTAGTTACTTCACAGCTATTTCTTGAGCACCTGCCTACCCTGGGCTCAGACCAGACCCAGGCTCATGGAGCCTGGAGGCCTTCAGGGAGACAGACAGTAACCGATCGCTTTGTATCAATTGCTGTTGGGATCAGTGCCTCAGAGGAGAGGTCCAGGGAGTCAGGAAATATACAGCGGGCTCGATCCAGTGAACAGCGTTTGCCAAAGTGGCAGTTGAGTTGAGATCTGAAGAAGAATGAGAAATAATAGGTGAATAGTGGGGAGGGGAGCACGCTGAGGAGCGAGAACGGCGAGTGCAAAGGCCCTGAGGCAGGGAGGTGCTTGGCACATTGAGATGTCAGAACAGGTGGTTGCATTGACATTTAATTAATTTCCTTTTGTCTACACCCCAACCACCGCCTTCTCTCAGACATGAATACCTTTCAGATGATCCTCTGTTTACTTGGAAAAGGGAGCCTGGCTGGCTGTTTTAGTTGTCTCTACCTGTACACCACGGAGCTCTTCCCAACAGAAGTCAGGTAAGAAGATGGATCAGAGTCTCTGGGACCAAGAGGGCAGCCTCTGTCCCTCAGGACTGGGCCACTAAGGAAACCAGCCTCCATTTGGAAATGGTTTTGTGGTGTCACATCTCAAAGGAGCAGGTTCATGTCACTATGTTATCGTGATTTTGGTTATCATAGGACATTGCTCTTGGAGTAGTGACTGGAGCTTGACAGGCACTCCATAAATGGTCTCATTTCTATAGCTTCAGAAAAGTGTAAATATCCTAGATAGCGGTAGCAAATCGAGGAGTTGAGGACGTCGAGTACTGGAACAGTGCCTAGCACAAAACACGTGCTCAGTAAGTATTAGCTGTCAGTTTTTCCATCATTGTTATCGTTCCCAATAAGCATCCTGCAGGGCCACATCTGAGATGAATGTTCCCTTCCTCATGATGTGCCCCCACATGACCCATACCAAGATCTGGCCCTTTGCCACACAGCCTTCTTATCTCTCGTGCACTGGCCCTGAGACTCAGCGCCTGGTTCATTCATTCATTCACCGAATCCTATTAGACTTGTCGCAGGTGCTTGAATTAGGGCAGTGCGCATGCAGGGTCCCAAACCCTTCCTATGGTCTCTCTCACCGCAGGCAGATAGGGATGAGTGCCGGAATCTTCAGCACACGCCTGGGCTCCCTCTTGTCCCCCATGGTCTACATCCTAGGCAACCATAGCCCACTGCTACAGCCTGTGATATTTGGCCTGGTCCCTATCGTGGCGGCTGCAGCAGGCTCCTTCCTGGTGGAGACGAATAACCAGCCATTGCTGAACACCATCCAGGAGACAGAGAAGAGGTAGGAGCCTTCCTGCTCCCTCTCTCCAGCATTTTAGAAAGTCCTTGTAGATTGTGGGGACGGAGCAGTAGGAATGGGTCTGCTGAGGTTCTTGCTGCCCCGGCAGGAGTGGGGCACGCCCTGGGCCCATTTCAGGACTCTGGGGCAGCTCCCACTGCCCCTGCCCCTCCATCTGTATATATAATAATGGCTTCGGGTGTATTAAACTTGGTGGTGACTGTCCGGGAGCCTGATGAAGCATTTGGAGATAAATCATGCAGGAGGCCATATACAATGCTGCCAAATTCTTCTTTTATTAAATACATCATCACTTTGTATGTGGAGGGGACCTGTCGCATGGCTAAAGTCCCTCCTCTCACCTAACCTATGGCTGCAAAACCACAGGGTGGTGACCAAGGAGGTCAGTCCGTTCCTCCAGATGAAGTTCAGCCATGCTTTCTATTTTAGAATGAAGGTGGTCATTCTACCCACTGAATCTACCCACTCAACACTTCTTTGCAAGTGGGTTCCTTGTCTGTGGCTTGGCTGATCTGGGGTGGGCTTGGGTGTGTCTGCAGGTTGGTGGGGCTCTGCTCCAGACGGGCTGGGCTGGGCTGGGGGCAACTCCCTGGGGAGTTTCATCCTCCTTCTGGGACCAGCAGGCCCCTCCTTCTCAGGGCGGTGACAGAGACCCAAGAGCCCTTCCATCCACGAAGCTCTCACTTTTCCACTCAGAGCTTATTCTATGCTTCTCCTTGCCCAGAATAAAGATGGCTCAAGACAAGCAAAGAAACGTCAGTGAAAATATCACCAAGAATGGATTGGCCGCACTTCTTCCAGAGAAGACAAAAGTAGAATGCACAGTGTGATTTCTTTGGACCCACACCTATATTCTGAATGGTCCTGGATCTCTTCACAACTTTCTCACATTTTGAAATGTGAAGGATCTTGCCAAGGAAATGCTGTGGCACCTCACTTGACGTCTAATGGACAAAGCAACGATAGTGCTGTGATCTGGAACTATTATAAGGCAGATGAGTCATTCGACTGATAGGCCAACTGAGAAAAGACATGTATTGGACAATCAGGGACATTTGAATAGGAAGAATGAGCTTTAAATAAATATTAAGGGATCTGTTGATTTTGTGAAGTTGGCAGTGGCATTAGGTTATATAAGCCAATGTCCCTTTTTAAAAAGATGTTAAGTTGAAGTATTTAGGAATGAAATGAAACATTGGGAACTTGCTTTAAAATACTAGGAAAGTGCACAGAATGAGTACCAGACTTGAAGCAGGGGGTTCGTTGTACTTCCTACCTTTGGATGTGTTTGGAAATTTTTATGATAGAAGTATTTTTCAAGTCCAGCAGCTTTTTTCTATGGTTAATGTAAAATGATGACTTGATGGCTAAAAACATCTCCCAGCCTGCCTCCCCAGGGGTTTTGTCTCCTCTGTGGTGCTGTCAGACCATGTAGCCCTTAGTAGCCACAGGTCAAGGCCACGTCCTTCACTGCCTGTGGACAACCCAACCAGCACTGACATGCAGCCCAGGGCCAGCTGCAGCCACCTGCCCAGATCACAGGGTGGATGCCTGAGACTACAAAAGGCCAAAAACCGAGCAGAGCTTCCAATGGCAAGTGGTGGATAGGTGTGTCCAAGATATCTATCCGAGCGCAATTGACATAGCACCCCTCGCTAGTTATTGATATTGCTCCTAAGTTTGGTAATGGCCATTTTGATATATAAGGACATATGCTTGAGACCATGACCAGAAAGCCCCCACAGGGCTACTGTATGAAGAAGAGCCTCCTGAATTTCTGAAAAGTCACCGAAGCCCTTTGTTATCACTGAGGTTCTCTGTTCAGCGTGGACATGTAAATGTATATATTTTTTCTACACCTAAATTTCTCTAACGTAGAAGACATATCGAATTATTGCTGTGTTCATGTTTTGTTACTAGCATCTGATCTAACAATGTTAAATAGAATACAATAAATTTCGTTGTTTCTCAACTGCTAATTCATGTTTTGCTATTTGTTTGTTTATTGTTTGCTTATTTATCAGCTTTAGGTATTAGCAATTAACCAATATCTGATTCTTGTTTGAATTATGATTATGAATTATAATTACATTATGGTTTGTTTTTAGAAATAAAAATCCCTTTTTTGAAAACAGATAATTGAACATAATTGAATTAAAGTAGTACATCAAAGTGGAATCTAAACCATGACTGCTTCAGAAAATCTAAGTTTAAAAAGATTTTGGGAGGAGCAAGATGACAGAGGAGTAGGAGACGTAAATTTCGTCTGGTCCCAGGAATTCAGCTGGATAGGGATCAAACCATTCTGAACACCTACGAACTCAACAGGAGACCGAAGAAGAGAGAAGCAACAACTCTCTGAACAGAAAAGGGACCACTTTCTGGAAGGTAGGACGTGCGGAGAAGTGAATCCGAGGCGATATTCAGGAGGATAGACGG